GCCAGGCAGTAGCTCAGTGAAGGCACAAGCTGGGAAAGGAGGCAGGGAGGGAGGGAGGGAGGCAGGGAAGAGGCAGGGGAGACAGGGAGGTGTAAGTTCATCAGGTCACCCTCCCACATTCACACGGGCTCTCCCAGGCAGGCTGCTTCTGCTCACCTTTGCCCCTCACACTTCCCAGCACAGATCTCACCCCTCTGTGTCCGACGGCAGCTTCCTCCCTGGCCCCAGCTCACTGGGCTCTGTTCCCTGAAGGTCCAGGGTGGAATCAACAGGTGATAGACTGTTGCCGTGGTTGGATGGCATCACCGACTCGATGGACCCAAGTCTGAGCAAGCTCCCGGAGTTGGTGATGGACAGGGAGGCCTGGTGTGCTGCAGTCCGTGGGGTCGCAAAGAGCCTGACAGGACTGAACCACTGAACTGAACTGAACTGAGACCGTTGCTGGGTTCCGGAGGCTTCTGTAAAGGCATGCATTCGTCAATACCTCGAGACTTGAAGCACAAGCAGGCCTGCTGCTCCCAAGCCCATCACAGGTCGCAGGCGGGCTTTGAGGTGGAAAAAGGGAGTAAAAGATGGATATTTATCAAGGTCTGAGCTGAGTGTTAATACCCAGTGCCTCTCAGCCCCCACGACCACCCTGGCAGTTAGTTTGAGGAGTTACAGATGACGAGACCAAGGGTCAGGGAGGTGAGGTCCCTGGCCACGAGCAGACTCTGCGCCAGCCACCTGGAGAGGAGGAGCAGGTTATGTGCAGAAGCCCTTGGCTGTGGCGCCAGCCAGCGCTGAGAGGGACACGTGGGCCAAGGCAAGCAGTGTTATGCGTGCACCTCGGAGCCCCTCTTGCAAGCGGGGCCCATCTCAAGTGGGGAGCAGAACTGGCCAGACCCATAAGTCTCCCCAGACTTTCCACTGAAGACAACTAGGTCCAGCAGAGGTTGCCTCTGAAGATAGAACTGGAACCAGGGCTGGGAGGAAAGGACAGTGTATAGTGCTCACTTTGCACAGTTCTGTGACCATCTGAATTTTACCAAGAATGTATCATGATTACTATTATTATCGAAAAGAAAAAGTGAAAGTGTTAGTCGCTCAGTCATGTCCGACCCTTTGCGACCTCATGGACTGTAGCCCGCCAGGCTTCTATGTTGATGGGATTCTCTGGGCAAGAATACTGAAGTGGGTTGCTATTCCCTTCTCCAGGGGATCTTCCCCACACAGGGATTGAACCCCGTCTCCTGCATTGCAGGCAGATTCTTCACCGTCTGAGGCACCAGGGATGAGAAGAAAATGAACATCCAATGACCCCAAGGTGTCTGCCTCTCCTGAAAGCTTCTGCGCCTTGAGACAGTCACGACAAAGCCCCAGAGAGGCTGCCTTCCCCCCGCCCTCCACCTCCCATGGAAGTGCATCCCACAAGCTAGGCCCCAGACCCAAAGGTGGCCATGCATTCCTTCCTTCCACCATTCATTCTTTCACGATTCTCTGTTAGACCTCCGCCCCGCAAAAGTCACTGGTCTAACGGAGAGACAAGCACGAGGACCACACACGACAAAATAAGGCAACTGGTTCTGACGAAGAACGAGGTGCAGGATGTGCCTGTGGGGGTAGTCAGAGAGGGCTTCACAGAGGAGACAGCTTTGAGCGGACACCTCTCACGGGACCAGAGATCTTGAGAGTGAGGACCTGGGCTCAAGACCTTGAGTGAAGGGACATGTCCCGCTCCAGACCTTGAGCGGAGCCCCAGCAAAGCTCGCCCCCTTCCTTCAGCCTCCACACACTCCTGGCCACCTGCACCTTCTGCCTCATCTGCTTGGAGCCAGCTCACTGAGGAGTTTCCATACCTGCAGGCCTGTGTCTGCTACCAATTAGGAGGCAAGGTAATTACACCGTGATTACGGACATACTCTTCCACTTCTTAATGAGCTACATGGGCTTAGGCAGAAAGGTCTCTGCTGTCTGAAACTCAGGGACTATGCAAAGCTGCAAGGCCTATGTGCTAGGCCAGAGGAGTGGTTTTCCAACTGCTTTCAACCCCCTTGAAACAGATGAAACCGATGAAAACCAAGCTATTTGGGTTGGGGTAGGAGTGTGGAAGGGGCTCTGGGAGAAGGATCCAGAGGCCCACTTGCTCTGTAGCTCTGGATCCTGGGCAGATGGGGGTTGGGACCAGTCCTGGGGGTGGGATCAGGGTGGCCAGGACAGAGGGAGAGTGCTGGGGAGAGAGTCCACCACCCACATCTCCCAACTGGCACACACAAGGACTTCAGGATCTTCAGAACTGCGTGCTGGTACCCATGTCCCTGGCCCACTTAGCTCATCTTTTACAGCGAGCAGTGAGTCTATACAAATAGAAATAGAAATATGACCTTGAAAGATGTCTTAAAGGACTTCAACATTTTAATAACTCCACCATTTCCTTTCTTAAATTCAAAGGGATGTTTAAGGGAAAATATCTCTTCTATAGAAGGAATATTTATATGAATTCAGCAATTCTATGAACTCCCTTTTCTTTTTCTTCTGTTCAAGTCAAGTAAAATTAGACTAAAAATAGAATCCAAGATATGAGTCTTCTGGTTTTATAAAGTCATTTCCACCCATCTGTCCCTTACTCATCCTTCTGGTTTTTGTGTATTTGTGGAGTTGTTCAAAATGATGTTCATCTAATGTTAACGGGGTTTTTTTTTTTGTCCATGCCACGCAGCACTCAGGGTACTAGTTCCTTGACAAGGGGTCAAAGCCGTGCCCCTTGCAGTGGAAACAAGGAGTCTTAGGCACTGGACCCCCAGAGAAGTCCCTTCTAATGGTTACTTTCAGCTGGTTGGATTTGGGTTGGTTTTTTATTTCTGTCTTTGGGCTTTACAGTGTGTTTTAAATTCTTTATAATGAACAGGTGTCACTTATTTTTTAATGTGATTTTTTTTTCCTTAAAAAGAGAGATGGGAAGGAAACTTGTCAAACTTGTCAACCAGAATTAGTAGTGGAAACTGAGTACTGAGATGATGGATGATTGCTATTTCTTTTTTTCCCTCCTCCTTTAATTTCTAGAAGAAAACAACTTACTTTTAAAATAAGGAAAAAAAGAAATCATGGGGACTGTGAAACAAGACCAGTGGCAGACAACTTGTCAATGATCTCTTCATATTTACTGAACAACTTGATGCCAGGTTCCAACGTCTACAGTCTCTCTATTGAGGTTTGTGGCTACTACACGGGGAAAAGCTGTTCTCACGCGCTTTCCTTGCAATTATATATGCTGCCACTAGTTGGCGTTAGGCATGTCCGTATTCTGGGAGGTGTGTGTTTTGCCCCCGTCTCAGGTGAGAAGTTATCTATTACAGCTCGAATTTTTGGAGAATTTCTTTACAGTTGATAACCCAATCGAGGCCGCTCAATTGTGTTCCTCAAATAAATACTTCAGACACAAGTCAAACAAGTGATTAAAACAAGCAAACATGCCGCTTCTTACGCATGACAGAGGGTAGCCTCCAGGTAAAGCACCCAGCTCTGGAAGCTGACGGATCTCAGTCCAAACCCTGGGTTCATCACTCACTGGCTTCATCATCTTAGGCAAACTACCTCAGCTCTTTTGGCCTCAGCATCCTCATTTAAATGCTGGGAATTTGACAAGCCCACATCACAGGATTGTCGTAGGAGCTGAGTGAAGCTGTGTAAGTAAAGGATTCGGGAGATTGTCCTTATTACTCTTGCTGTGAGTCCACCTAGAAAACTCCTGCTCAGCCTTGAGGGCCCCGCTGAGACCCCTCCTCCTCAGTGAAGCCTCTGTGAACCTCCTGGCAATTAGTTGCTGGCTCCTCTAGTCCTATATCCCAATCATTAAGCTTAGGGTGCCAGTTTTTTCTTCATGTCACTTGAGGCTATGTTATCAGATGAGTGAAAATGTAAGATTTTACATCTTAATCTTGGGCCATGGAATAACCCCAGTATTATTTTGAAATGCCCCTCTTTATCTCTTAAGGCCAATATTGATAACATAATCAAGTCTGCACAAACTTTGTCTGATATTATTATTATTATTTAATCTTTTGGCCACACCACACAGCATGTGGGATCTTAGTTCCCGGACCAGGGATCAAACTTAAGTCCCCTGCATTTTCAGTGAGGAGTCTTAACCGCTGGACCACCAGGAAAGCCCCTGTTTGATATTATTTTAACTACTTTTCCTCCCTCCCTCCTTTCCTTCCTTCCCATCCTTCCTTCATTCCTCGTTCTGTCTTTTTTCTTCTCTGCATGTGCTCTACACACTAGGAGAACCAGGCACAGAGGAGGCAGTGATGGTCCCAGGTTGGCCTCCCTGTCCCAGCCCACCCGCAGAGAAGGCTCCTGGTCCTCCCTCCTGGGGCCTGTGGCTCCTGCCTGCCCATCCTAACAGCCCCGCCCCAGTGTCTCCGCGCTGTCTCTCTCAGGCTCCTCTCTCTCATCCAGTCTCTGCTGAGACCCCGACCAGTCACCCCCACAGAGGTCAGAGGCTCTCCCAAAGACATGGATCTGAACCTCACAAGGACTCCACGACGGAGCTCATTTTTCACCCTGTCACGGTCACCGCATCCTCACAGGCGGGCAACCGTGTTCACACTCACACACTCAAGTGTGACTGTGTGTCCAGACACACATGCACGTGCACTTGCCTACACAGCAATGCTCACTCCCCCGACCACAGGGGACCTGTCCCACCTGCACCTGCCCTCCTCGGCCAGTGACCAGCGGAGGGCCCTCCCTCCCTCCCCTGCCCCTGCCCCATCTGACCATCTCACTGAGAGCAGTGACACTCTCCTGGGGACCACCTCCTGGGGGAAAACTCCTTGCCGCCGCTCGGTGGGGCTTCGTGGGCTCCTGAGCACACCGTTCCTTACCCATAGGAAGCGCTGACCTGGTTGGCCTTTTCCTTTTTGACCTTCACCTCTCCCCTTCTTCCTTCCTGGACTGCAAACCCAAAGCCTGAGCTGCTGCCTTGCAGTTGTCTGGACAAGTGCCACGCTGTAAAGATGGTAGGGTGTGAAGCAAGGGGCCCCTCGTCCCTGACCATCCTGGGAGAGGTGGTTCCAGTCCAGAACTGCCTCCTTCCAGGCTGCTTGTTTTGTGAGGAAAGATAAACCCCTGCTGATTTAAGCCACTATGGTCAGTTGCTGGTACGTGTAGCTGATGAAGCGCTTAATTGGCACAAAGACAGTTCATGGGACACCTCCTCCAACAAGTCTTCCCGGACTCCCCTGGCAGATCCCATCCTGTGTTCTGTGTCCTTCTCAGAAGGTCAGAGTTGCCTCTGACCCCATCACAGTTAATGTACATTGCCTCTCAGAGAATCTGGTGCACACTACCCACCACCCTCCAGGGGCAGGCCCATCCTGCCGGCCTGGGTAGCCCCCTTATTTCTTAGCTGAGTGCCTGGAGGGATGTTTGCATGGGTGAGGAAGAAGAAGCCGAGGACTTGGACTCCTAGAGCCCGCGTTCTAGTCCCGGCCTCCCTGTCCCAGGGCTGTGACCTTGAGTTCCCTGAGAAACAACTGAGAAGCAGTTGTTTCTCTGTCTACAAAGCATCTCGTGGGGGTTCTGAGGCTCAGATGCAGTAATCAATATGGAAAGGTTTGGCGACAAAAAGCTGCTGGATACATGGTAATTGTCAGTGTCCCCGTAAGGGCTTTGTGGCCAGAGTCTTGTCGATTATTCTGAACAAACAAACAGCAACACACACACATCACATATACATACACCACCCACACACATTCACACAGCACACACACACAACACACACGTCACATACATGCACACAGCACACATGCACACGATGCACCCATCGTGTGTATATACACGTAGTACACACACACACACACACACAACCCACACACACTCACACAGCGCACACACACAACACACATGTCACATACATGCACACAGTACACATGCACACGATGCACCCGTCGCATGTATATACACATGGTACACACACACATACACATATGCACACACAACCCACACACACACAGCACACACACACAACACACACGTCACATACATGCACACAGCACACATGCACACGATGCACCCGTCGTGTGTATATACACGTGGTACACACACACATACACATATGCACACACAACCCACACACAGCACACACACAACACACATGTCACATACATGCACACAGCACACATGCACATGATGCACCTGTCACGTGTATATACACATAGTACACACACACACACAACACACACACTCACACAGCACACACACAACACACACGTCACATACACGCACACAGCACACATGCACCAGTTGCGTGTATATACACGTGGTACACACACACATACACATATGCACATGCACAGAGGCATGAGCAGGTCTCTTAAGCCAAAGCAACTTGAACTGCCCTTGGAAGCTGCCCAAACCAACCTGAAGCACAAGCCAGTCCACACCCAGTGACTTGGTGCTGGTTTGAGGACTAGCCAGGCTCCTCTAGGTTGTTTTCTTTGAACCAAATGTGGTTATCATCACCTTGTATGTCAGCATTTGGCGCTTGCTTCCACCCCAAGACTTAAAGGAGGCCTTTACAGGGCTCAACAGGTGAGGGAGTGGAAAACAAGGAACCTTCCACCGAGGCTACCTGAGGGGGTCTTGGAAGGACACGCTCTGGTCCACTGCCTGCAGTCCGGAGGGACGGGGCACCCTCTGTCCGTCTCTCCCTCCCTCCCTCCTTCCCTCCCTTCTCACTCGTCTCCTTCCCGTTCTGTCCATCTCTGTCTCTCTCCATCTGTCTGTCTCTCCTCTCTCTCTGCAGCCGCACCTGCAAGAGCTGGAAAGCCAGGCCCGGCTCACGGCCGCTCCAGGTGATCAGCCAGGGCCCCGCCGTTCTCCCTCGTGAGCAGAGCTGGTCAGTACCCAGGCTGGCTGTTCATTTAACAGACACTGCCTGAGCACCTACTGTGTGCCCCCTGGCTCAGCCCTGGGGGCACAGACTGGTTGCTCAAAGTAGTGGAAGCCTGAGAAAGAAATGGGAAAAAAAAACAAATGTGGGGACTCCCCTGGTGATACAGTGGCTGGGACTCCTTGCTCCCATGCAGGGGGCTCAGGTTAGATCCCTGGTCAGGGAACGAGATCCTAAGACCCAACACAACCAAATAAATAAACATTAAAGAGAAAAAGTGTGTTGGTTCCCCTCTCGGGCCAGGCACTGTGATGTTGCTGTCAACATTTGACTTAATTCCTGCACCAGCCTGTGAGGTATTTAAAAGTAGAGAGGTAGAGTGTTAGTTGCTCAGTCATGTCCAACTCTTTGTGAGCTGCCAAGACTGTGGCCTGCCAAGCTCCTCTGTCCTTGGAATTCTCCAGGCAAGAATATTGGAGTGAGTTGCCATTCCCTTCTCTAGGGAATTCTTCCCAACCCAGGGATCGAACCCAGGTCTCGTGCATTGCAGGCAGATTCTATACCATCTGAGCCAGCAGGGAAGCCCAAGAGGTATTTGCTTACTTAAATAGGTTCCACCAAATCTACCAGCTTAAGGTAAAAACAAAACTATTTTTAATATTCAAATTATTCTCTCACCAGCACCTCCCAGACCAACAGAAAGGCCATCATCTGTCTGTCTGTCTATCTGTCTGTCTGTCTTTCTCCATCTTTGTCTCTGTCACTGTCTCCCAATCCATTCCAAAAATCCCACTTCTCGGTACGGACTTAAGAGAAGTGAAAGCAGAGTCTCAAAGCTACAAGCACCCCTTCGTTCACAGCAGCATTATCCACAATAACCAAAAGGTAGAAACAACACACGTGCCCAGGGCTCAACAGAGGTGGTCCATACAAAGGAATGTTACTCAGCCTTTAAAAGGAGGGAAATTCTGATGCCTGCTATAACAATGGACGAACCCTGAGGTCATTATGCTCAGTGAGATAAGTCAGTCACCCAAGGACTGATACTTGTGATCCCACTTTTGTGAGGTGCCTAGAGCAGACAAATTCGTGGAATCAGGAAAGGGGATGGGGGTACTGGGCGTTGGTGGGAGGTGGGGAGCCAGTGTTTTTACGGAGACAGAGTTTCGGTTTGGGAAAATGGAAGAGTTCTGGAGGTGGAGGCTGGTGACACTGCACGAGGTGAGCCCACTCAGTGCCACGGAGCTGCGCACTCAAAATGGTTAAAATGGGTAGTTCCGGTTCCGGCGTGTGGAGTTCTTATTGCTGGCGGTCAGTTGTCACGGTTGGTGGGCAGTAACTGAGCCAAGATGCTATGGAATCTTCTGGCTCTCCATCAGATTGCTAAGAGGACCATAAGTACTTCTTCATGCAGACAGTTTGAAAATAAGGTTCCGGAGGAAAAAAAGCTGTTTCAAGAGGATGATGGAATCCAGTGCTTTTGAAGGGTGGAATAGCTGATGCCCTCCTGTATAGAGCCACCATAATTCTTACAGTTGGTGGGACGGCATATGCCATGTATGAACTGGCTGTGGCTTCATTTCCCAAGAAGCAGGACTGACTTCAGTTTATCCTCCCAGCAATCAGTTGGTTCAATTCCATTCAGCTCCCTGTGGACCAGTAATCTGATACATAACTGAGTTCTTTGGGGATCAATATTTATTGACTTGTACTAGTTGCCACCAATAAAGCAGCCTTTACCATGAAAAAAATAAAAAAATAAAATAAAATGGTTAAGTGGCAAATTCTATGTCATTTGTATTTTATCACAATTAAAGCAACAACAGCCCTGGTGGTCTCTGTGGGTGTGGAGGGTCTGTGGGTGTGGACCTGGGAAGAGGCCCCTGAGTAGTTCTGGACGGTTCCAAGTGATCTAGCTCCGGGGTCTTCCATCACAGCCTTATCTCCATGGGGGCAGGAACTGAGTCAGAGTTATCTCAGGGTGCCCAGCCTGTGTGTTGACTGACTAACCAACTGGCTGGTTCCACAGTGCACTCCCCGCCTGGGCGCCTCTGGGAGAGTCCAGACCCTGGGCAGCTCTGCAAGCTAGGCCCCCTGCCGAAAAGGAAGTGCCAAACAATAGCCCCCAAGAGGCCTCCCTACAGCCAGCCGGATGTGCACCTCCACGGACAAAGCAGGCTTCCTCCGTAGGAAGTGATACCCGAGGGAGGGGAGCACGGGTTTCCGCTGGAGCAAGCTGGAGAGGGGCCAGGAAGGACAGGCAGAAGGGTGGGGAATCCTGGATGCCCACTACCCCTGGCGCTGAGCACCAAAGGCCACGGCGGGCGGCCCCCTCCCCAGGGCTCTAAGGACACCCTTGTCCTGTGGAGCGTTGACTCTTCTGAGCCTGGAGGTCAGAGTCAGCACAGGAGGGTGGGGAACATGCGCAGTCCCCTGTTGAGGGCTGTGTGGCCCCGCGGCCCTGGCTGCACCCTACCTCCCCTTGAAGGGGACAGGCGTCACCCTGCGATCACTGTGCATCTAGGCGCTGCCACCCCAATTCGCCCAGATCCAGGCCTACCCTCTTGCACCTCTTCCTTCTCCACGCCGAAAACAGACGAAAATAAACAGAGACAGAAAAAGAAACAGCCCTGAACCCCAAGGTGGGGTGGCTGACGGAGGTGAATACTCCCCCCGCCTCCCCTCAGCGTTCTGACTCAATTGAGAGTCTGAGTCAGGAGGCAGAGAGGGACTGACTCTGTTGTTGGAAAGTGGAAGTTCTGACTCAGAACCAGATGGGTCCCTGCGTTCCAGGTAGCCCCCTGGGAAGGAGCCATGGGTCCTGCTGCCTGGAGGGGCAGAAGCGGGGTGGAGTCACACCCCAAGAGTGGAGTCACTGGCCTCCACAGACCGCTCGGAGGGGAGAGGTTGCTGGGGTAACAGGTGCAAGGAAGGAGCAGGAGTGTTTGGCAGGGGCTGAGGTCTGGAGTGGGGGCTGAGGCAGGAGGAGGGGGTCACTGAGCTGGCAGGGAGCTGCTGGGGGTGCTGGGGGGGGTCAGGAGACATGCACCGACAGAGGGAGGAGGCGCCTCGGTGAGGTCGAGGCCGGCCCAGCCCGCAGCATCCTGGGGAACATGGGTGGCTGTGGCTGGAAGCTTAGGACAGGGTGACCTTCCCTCCGCCCTTCACTACCAC